TTCCTTCCTTCCTTTCTTTTTTTGGTACTGAGGATTAAACTCGGGACCTTGCACTTGTGAGGCAGGCGGAGGAACCACTGAGCTAAATCCCCGGCCTTACTACTTTATTTTTTTGAGCAGTTTTAGATTTACAGAAAAATTGAACAGAAAGTAGAGTTCTCATAGCCTACCTTTCTCTCTGCAGTTTCCTGATACTAACATCTGGTCTGAGTGTGGTGTATTCATTATAGCCCTATCCTATTGTAACAGCCCTTCAGATGTTTCTATCCAAATGGCCCAAAGCTGAAACAATCTGGGTGTCTTGGGACCTCTCGCTATTCGCTATTGTCTCCTCTGTTCATTCTTATGGTGGTCATCATGTCTGCAACAAATGTTCTGAAGTGGTCTTCCCAGGGTGGCAGGCAAGATTTGCATTTGTGCAACCTGAGACCAAGTGGCCTCTTTGAGTTGGTGCGTTATATTATGGGATCATCTGTGCCTTATGGTACACTAAGATCCCTGAGTCTTTTTCCTTCCTTCCTTTTTACTTTCTTTAGAATACTTACGTACATTTTTTAAATCGTAAAAGTGTTTTAAATCATTTAAATTGTAAACAGGATCACATAAAAACTTTGGGCAGAAGGGGAAAACACTGCCCAAACATAACTACTTAACTTTGGTTACATTCTCCCAGACTATCTCCATACTGTTTTGTTTGTCTAGTTGTAATTAAGGGGAATATACATTTTGATGTGTTGAGCTTGTGAACCGCTGCCAATTCCCATCTTGTATTTTTGCACTAAATTTTTGAACCTGAATGGAAGAAGTTATGCCCATCCTAGTGGTATTGCCTAGTATTGTTTAGGGCCCTGGGCCTTCTCCCCTTTGTGCAAAGCCAGCCTTTTGTACCTCTTGAGTCATTACTATCAGCACTGACTAAGACCCGGATGAGGGTGTAGTCCTGTGTTGGGCCCTTAGAGATGATCCTCACCTTGGCTTTGATCCAGTAACCTGTGTTCTGTTCCCTCTACTAAGGATCCTTTTAACTCCACTGTGCCCCAGGTTAGAGGTCTACTTCCCCTTAGCCAACCTGAGGGATGGTCTATGACTTTTTATGGGACTTGGCCCAGAACTTTTTGTGTTCCTGCTTATCAGGACAGATCTGGTTCTTTAACCTGAAGACATTCCTTATTTTCATACTCAAATTCTCTCTGATTCTGTCCTGGCTAAGATTGTATTTTGTGTTTGCTTATTGCCATGCCTTTGGGCAATGACCCAAAGGTCTAGATTTGACCTTGAAACTGTAGAGGCTGAATCAGAGACCAGCCCCACCCACCCTGAGATTAGAGATCTAGCCCCACTGCAGCTCCTCACGTCTCCCTCTCTGCATTCTATTTTATCCTTCCTTTGTAGCACTGGGGATTGAACTGGGGGCTTGTGCATGCTAGGCAAGTGCTGTACCACTGAGCTATGCTGCTGGTCCCCTCCCTGTCTGCATTCTACCCATTCACTGTAAAGAGTATCTGTTTCCATTGTGCCATTTGCGAGGTATGGCACTTGCTACACACCTCAGACAGCCTGTTAGATTTATTCTGAAAAGTGTATCAGCACATTTACTCTGATCTTTCCTTCCAAATATTTTGATTTTTTTTCCCCTTGGATCAAAAACTGCATAGCTGGAGGACCCCCTCCCCCAACCCCTTTGCCTCTCTCCTACAGTGACTTTTACTCAGTTATACTGTGCTGGGCTTGCATAGAGAGAAATGCTAAGCAAATTGTATGAAATTGTCTTGTAGTTGAAGACAGGATCCGTAACAGCACATCTTCTTGGTGGGAATGTCTAAGGACTACTGCTTTAGTTAGGCATGGTGGTTCTCTGGAGACTGATTAACTTTTATACATTCACAAATCTGGAAACTCAAGGTTTCCTTCTTTGCTTTGGCTACATGGAAGTCAGTATCAAACATATGGGGCTGGGGATTTAGCTCAGCAGTTCTGGCACCTTCGTCGCAAGCGCAAGGTCCCGAGTTCGATCCTTGGTACCAAAAAAACCCCCCAAAACTAGATACAGTATCAAACATATGACTCACATCTATGGACAGACTTTATTTTTGTATCTAGATTTTAAAATTTCTCTCACGCATTTATCCCATCTTATGTGTTAATAAGATGACTCAAATCCTTCTTGAATAAGGTAAATTTATGGCACCTGTTACTTTTATTTATTTATTTATTTGGTACCAGGCATCGAACTTGGGACCTTACGCTTGTGAGGCAGGTGCCAGAACCACTGAGCTAAATCCCTGGCCTCTGTTACTTTTATTCTTGTAGTCAATCCCTTACCTTTACTCCTGTGGGTATCTAGTTTCTTTTAATTCTAGCCAGGTTGCTACATTTAATGGCTCAGGCATTCCTTTACCACCAGGATCATTTTACCTGTGAGATGAGTTTCTTTACAGGTCTCCTGCCTTTAGGCCTGGAACAAGTTGAGTGAGATCCTTAAATTTGTCTACAATTAATTTCAAGTCTGGCAACACCTACCTTTCCCCTAATAAGATAGGATTACAAACAGTGTTTTCTGAATCAGAAATTGAGAATTTGGCCTCACCTGCTCATCAGTTGTTGGGAAATTCTTGCAGTAGGGAATCTGGTGCTTTTCAGTTTTGGGGTTCCAAGAATGGAAATGAGACAGCAGCACTGGCTGCAGATCAGCTGGAGGAATGGGCTGTCTAGTGAGGCCTGAGGGGCTGATAGGCATGGGAGTCTGGGGTTGGTGCGGTGAGCCCATCTGAAGGGTCTGACAACCTCATTTCCACATCTGTCCTCCCCAGAGCTCCCTGCACCAAGAAAATGTGACAGTTTTCGGATGCCTGACTCACGAGGTGCCCTTGAGCCTGGGGGATGCAGCGGTGACCTGTTCCAAAGGTGGGGTGAGGAGTGAGGCTGGAATCCCAGGCAGGGCTGTGGGGCATGGTGTGGAGGAAGGACAGCCAGGGCCTCCAGGAATCGGGAGCAGGTGGCTGAGGGTTCTTGGTTCCTGACCACACCTCCTTACCTCTCACTGGTCCAGCCCTTTTCCTGTCTCTCTTCAGAGTCGCTGGCAGGCTTCCTCCTCTCAGTCAGCGCCACCTCCAGAGTGGCGAGGCTGCGAATTCCCTTCCCGCAGACGGGGACTTGGTTCCTGACTCTCCGCTCCCTGTGTGGGGTGGGGCCTCGGTGAGCAGCACGGTCGGGGTCAGGGTCGGGGTCAGGGTGGGGGTCTGGGTTGGGGTCTGGGTCGGGCCGCGGCCCAGACGGGGACGGCCCTGGACCCAGATAACAGCCAGTGTGTCCCTAGGTTCGTGCGGTGCCGCAACGCGACTGCCGAAGTGCGACTGCGCACCTTCCTGTCCCCATGCGTGGACGACTGTGGGCCGTATGGCCAATGCAAGCTGCTGCGCACGCACAACTACCTATATGCGGCCTGCGAGTGCAAGGCTGGTGAGTGGGCTGGCGAGGGAGCGGGCACATGTGCTTCCAGGGCTGTAGGTGGTTTGGAGAGGTGGGCGTGCTGGGCACTCCGGGGTGGGGGCAGAATTGTCTGCCTTCTGTCCTCCACCCAGTGCCCTCCTGACCCACAGGGTGGCGGGGCTGGGGCTGCACCGACAGTGCCGATGCGCTTACCTATGGCTTCCAGCTGCTGTCCACACTCTTGCTCTGCCTGAGCAACCTCATGTTTTTGCCACCTGTGGTCCTGGCCATTCGGAGCCGCTATGTGCTGGAAGCTGCTGTCTACACTTTCACCATGTTCTTCTCCACGGTAGGAAGTGGCATCTCCGTCTTTACCTCTTCACGTCCTTCCTTCTTCCTGGTGGTGGTGGTGTTGGTGGTGTGTGGGGCATCATTTCTACCATGTTCTCCACCAGTTTGGGGATGTCTCTACCTTCAGTGTCTAATACAGTGGTGCCTCTCAGCCTACCATGGTGTCACAGAAAGTGGTAATTCAGGCAAGGCACCTTGGGGCAAATGACTCAAGCTGTTTACGATTTAATATAACAAGTGTGGGTCTCCAGCTGCTCCACACTATGAGGAGACCTTTACTCAACACATCCACTGAGAAACTGCCCTACACCTTCACTGTATTCTCTGTAACAGGGCAGGACTCCATACTTTCACATTCATCTCTGCACAGTCTTCACCTTCATCATTTCTTTCCTGATATGAGGGCGAGCTATTCCGTGCTCATGTTCTGCCGTGTAGTGGGGATGTCTGTGTTGTTAGTGTGCTTGTTTCCATGCTTTGAAAGCATGTTCCCCCATTCAGTCCCCATGGCTGTCCTTCATTTCTTGTGGGAACTTTTGGAAGACAGAAGGGATCTCTATATTGGACAGTGAAGAAGATAATCTGGCTGTCAGAATCCTCAGAAACTTTATCCTGAGTCAGGGCAAGTGGCAATATGATATAAAATCCCAGTTCCAGGAGTACATTTTGATGTAGATTTCAAGTTTGGGGTTTTTTTTGTTTTTTTTTTTAGATAGGGCCTCTCTGTGTAGTTCAGGCTGGACCTGAACTCAATGTGTAGCCCACAATGGCCCTGAACTCACAGTGATCCTCCTGCCCCAGCCTCCTGAGTGCTGGAATTACAGGTGTGCACCACCTGTAGGTTTAATAGTTTTAAATTTCTCCATGCCTATTTAACAATCTCCACAATCCCTTCTCTTTGTTTTCTCATTCCTCCACAGCCAGAAAAATCCATATTACAAGTAAGCATTTAAGATATTATGAAGAAGGGTAGAGAAGTGGGTTTGCTGATATATCCTAACCCCCAGTTAGACTTTTTCCTCCACCAGATTCTGCACCTCGAAGGATCTTGTTATCCCATCTGTTCTTGACATTTGTATAATACAGTACCTGTCTATGAGCACTACAAAAAAATCTTAGATGGATTCAGACTCTCCTAATGTTTTAGCAACAGGAAAATCATGAAAACAAATATGATTCCCAGGTATTCAGCATTATTAGATCAGACATGTGTCCAGAGTACAAAAATCCTTCTTAATATCTGGAGAAAGTAGGGAGACAGAAGTGTTGAATTAGGGTCACAGGGTCCTCCTGGATACTCATCCAAAGACTCAGAAGAGTAGGATGTAGCCACACTGCACAGAGAGACTGTGGCCCTTTAATCAGGCTGAGAAGAGTGCACTTCAGTTTTGGATGACTGGGCCTCTTTTTAGGCCCCTCTGATAGTGCCTCATTCTGTTTTTATTTTAGACACTGTTTCTTATTGTCAGATGCCCTTTATGCTGTTGCTTTACCAAATCTTCTAGCAACAGCTGTTCTACCAGCCCACGCTTGACTTCATGCAGATCTAATGTGATTCATAATTAGTAAGAGTACCTTGATGTATCAGGAACCTAGAGCATGTGGGGAGAGCATATTCATTTCTCTCAGCTTGGCAGAAGCATCCTGGGCATTGGCTCCAATGTGTTCAGTGCTAGATGTCTCTTTCTGGATACAGTGGCATAGCAATCTGAAGAGAAAGACTTTTCCTCTAGTAGGAACACTGAGGGAGCCTCAGAAGCCTAGTACTAAATAAACTAAATTCACTTTCTTGAATAAGGCAGTAAGCAAGAGAATAAGGAATATCTGCTAGCTTTAAGGCATTGACTGAAGTCTTGCCCTAATTCCAGTTCTTTTTCCACAGTGGCCAAAATTTAAAGCTATTGGTCATTCAGTTTTCCAGGGGCAGGTCCCTATTGTTACTTCTTTCCCATTCTTTACTTAGTTTGGACTTATTTCATTCTATTGTAAGGATGATATAGGGATCCACTGGTCTTATTGCAGTTGACCAGGACAGTAGATGATAGTCATCTTCCCTGTCTTGAAATCTAGAACAGTCTATACTTGAGTAGACACATGCATTCCTATCCAACGTATAGCAGCAGACAGCAGGTTTATAATTCAGGCATTTGCAGATTTTAAAAAAAGATAAAAATATAAAAACAGCCACAAATGTAGCACTTGATTTTTGTACGTAGCTAGACAGTTCACATAATGATAACAGCAAAATGATATCTACAGAATTAATGGTATGCAAGACACTGCTAATTTAATCTTCACAATAGCACTTTAATAATAAGTAGGCACTTTTATTATCATTTTTTTTTGTAAGTGAAAGAAAATTAAACTTTTTGCCTAAGGGAGACAGTGAGTAATGGAGCTTAGATTCTCATTCATCCTGACTCCGAGCCCTCATGTAATCACTGAGCTGTGTTGCTCTCCTTGCACCAAGGCAGTGAGTGTAAATTGATAGAGTTCTTATCCAACTTTAGTTTCTAGAAGTCCTGGAGTATGATGAGGAACACATAGCTCAGGTTTAGTAGCTTCCCCCAAATTCTTGTGATAGTTTTTTTTCTCTCTCTCCTTCCTTCCTTCCTTCCTTCCTTTCTTCCTTTCTTCCTTCCACGCCCCCCCCCCTTTGTGTCTGTCTGTCTCTTTCTTGCTTTCTTGCTTTTGTGGTCCCAGTGATTGAAGGGCCTTGTACATGCTAGGCAAGTACTCTATCAGTGAGCCATGTCCCCAGACCACATCAAATTCTTAAGAGCCAATCAGGAGATTAGAGAATATAACCAAACCCAATATAAAAAAGCATCAGAGTGAATATATAAAACCTTGTGGTTGTGGGCCTTTAACCCAGATAGTCCAAGCCATTTATCCTTCACAATTCTACTTGAGTCCTTATAGAGTCCATGCCATGTGGCTTAGATAGAGCCCATGGCATGTGGCTGTCCTTGGCTGTTGCTGACATCCTGGCTGCAAGCCCACTGTCTCATTACCTGTTCTGCTCCTCAGACCATCACAAGTAATTTTCAGTGGCCCTTAGCAAAATCCCATAACTGTAGCCAAGAGAAAATAGAATTAGGAAATAATAAGAGAGGAACAGTTAAGTTCCATTATATCCTGTGTGCAAATTTCCCAATCTTTGGATAATTTAAATATGTTTGCATTTCCAGTTTGACATTCTGTAATGCCTGGTCACCCCATTTTAGTGCATTGGATGAACTATATAGTTATAAAATTATAAAGTTCCATAGAAAAAACTGAGGATAATTTTTTCCGAATTACTTCATATATAGGGTTCAAAGCTGAGGACATGATCAATATGGATTAGAATTATATTAATAGAATCTAGTTAGTAGTCTAAATTTCTTCTCTTAAATTTACCGAGTTTTCTGTGTCATTTCTACCACTATTATTGTTGTTGACAAAAGAAATATTAGTCTAAAATTTAACCTACAAGTTTCAGTGGGATAATTTCCTGAGATGGCAATTTTAATTAGCTCTATCCCTATGGATATTCCACAACCTTAAACTGTCACTTACTCTTTTTAGAATACTTGGAGAATTTTTAGCCGTGGACTATTACTGAATTTAGTAATTTTGCTGAATTTACGAATATTACTAATTTCCCCTAAACCTCTCCATTCTAGAGACAATATCTCCATTTCTCTCTCACTCTTTTTCAGTGTAGAGAAATTCCTAGGTGAAAGTCAGTTCTCTGTTATTGGCTTAGATATGTCTTCAGTATTTGGTGATTCAGCTTTGCCTTTTTTTCCCCGCTGATCTGTATCCTCCTTTATTTGAGATCAAAGGATTCATTTTAAGTTCCTCTTCTAAAAACTTCTGGGCATTTCTTTGAGTGTACTTGAAAGGCATATGGAGCATATGAACTGTGAAATTAATTCTTGAAAAGAAAACACAAATCTTAAAAGAGTATTGGATAATTTAGTAACTTGGCATACTTATTTCTTTCTTGTTGTTATTTTTGGTACCAGGGATTGAACTTGGGTCCTTGCACTTGCAGGGCCCGGGGCGGAACCACTGAGCTAAATTCCCGGCTTGTTTGAGACAGGGCCTTACTATGTAGTTCAGGCTGACCTTAACCTCATGGCGATCCTCCTGCCTCAGCCTTTTCAAGTGCTGGGATTACACGCATGCGCCACCACACCTGGCCAGCATACTTATTTCTGGTCTTGAAACAGAGAATAACCAAATAACTAAAATTAAGTTATTAATTAACCAGTGTGTTATAGATAAACTAGAAAAAGACTAAAGTATTAATATGTTTAGGAACCAAATTAACTCTCAATCAGCATATATAAGAGAAAGTATTGAAAAATTTCTTAGGCATATTTAAACATTAATTCTCCACAATGTAGGCCAGCTGGTAGACACTATCCTTCCCCATTTGTTCCTCCTGGTGTGAAATGCCATGCTTAGCCACTACCTTAGCGACCCTTTTTGCTTACTGTGTGCCTAGCCCCTGTGTAGTGAGTAGGAGGGGATGGAGAAAGCCAGTTAGTGGAGGTCCTGAGATGAAGCCCAGTGCAGAGACTGAGCAATCAGGAGAAATTCAGACATTCAAGAGAGTTTTGGAGGTCTAAATGGGCCATGAGTCCAGAGGCAGACCCCAAAACATGGGCTGGGGATAGGGGTTATTCGTGGGACCCATAATGAGTGTGTGGAGATAGGGAAGAAAATTGCCTCATTTTGAGAGATCTGAACCCCCTGGCCTGGCTTCTCCACTACACATTCCAGAAATGGGAAGCTCGGAGCTGCCAGATACATATGGCTAATGAAGTAGACCAGGCCTTCCTACCATGTTTTTTTTAAAGAGTGGAGGAGTCACATATTTCTTAGCTCTGCTCACCTGTGACCTCTGACCTTTGTTTCTCTGGCAGCAGTACACCATCCCTGTGGCTTCTTTATTTTCATACACGTGGACCTCCACCCTAAGTCCTTTCAACACCTGTCATTTCTTCCAGTTCTATCATGCCTGTGACCAGCCAGGCATTGTGGTTTTCTGCATCATGGACTACGATGTGCTGCAGTTCTGTGATTTCCTGGGCTCATTAATGTCCGTGTGGGTCACTGTCATTGCCATGGCTCGTTTACAGCCCGTGGTCAAGCAGGTCAGTCCAGAGTGGGCCCTGGGGGACAACCATAGCCAAGATCCACTTGGAATCCACTACTATCCTATCCCTGAGGGCTTTTCCAAGTGCCTCTTGCCATCCTAGCCCAGCCCCTGAAGTGCTGTCACCTGACACTAGTCCAGCCCCTGGAGTCGTCTTCCCCTAGGTGCTGTATTTGCTGGGAGCTATGCTGCTGTCCATGGCTCTGCAGCTTGATCGGCATGGACTCTGGAACCTGCTTGGACCCAGTCTCTTCGCCCTGGGGATCTTGGCCACAGCCTGGGTAAGGGTGGGGAGGGCTGTATATGTGTGTATGTCTGGGTTGGGGAGCCAGACTTGGGTGTAGGGCACTGGCCATCTCAATTTAAGGTGGGCTTGGCTTGTCACCATCACCTACTCTCTACAATGTCCACTCCAGCCTTGGCAAGGCCTTTAGGTCACAACCAGGCTTCAGGGGAAGCCTGAGACTGACCAGCTGTAGCTTGGGTTCCAGGGTCTTACATTCCTGAGCCCCACTTCTCTGCTTTCCCCAGACAGTACGCACTGTCCGCCGTCGGCACTGCTACCCACCCACATGGCGCCGCTGGCTTTTCTACCTGTGTCCAGGCAGCCTTATTGCGGGCAGTGCCGTCCTACTCTATGCTTTTGTGGAGACCCAGGACAACTACTTCTACATCCATAGCATTTGGCATATGCTCATCGCCGGCAGTGTGGGCTTCTTGCTGCCTCCTCGTGCCAAGACTGACCACCGGGTCCCGTCTGGAACCCGGGCCCGGGCCTGCGGTTACCAGCTGTGCATCAATGAGCAGGAGGAGCTGGGCCTTGTGGGCCCAGGAGGAACCACTGTCAGCAGCATCTGTGCCAGCTGAGAAGGGCTTTGGCCCAGGACCCGGGGAGATAAACCCTTTGTAGGGTTCTTCCTGGGGGTGAGAAGCCTTCCTGGGGACAAGAGACAAGCTATATTTCTTGAGGACTTAGAGTTTTTCTCAAGGACATTGAATTCTTCCAGGGACCTGGAGCCTTTCCCAGAACATGGGAAACTTTCTGTGTTCATGGAATCCTTCTTAAGGACTGGAAGGAACTACGCATGGCACAGAGCCCCCTCAGGACCTTCTGGGGCATGGAGTCTTTCCCAGTTATGTGGAACCATCCTACAGACATGAAATACTTCCCAGGGAGACAAAGCCTTGTCAGGAACATGGCATCATTCCAGAGGAAATGGAGTCTATCTTGGAGAAATTGAGTCTTGAGATTTTCCTAGAGACTCAGCAACTCTGGCCTCAGGCTTCCTTCCTAGAGGCAGTATCTGGGCTGTTCTGTGCTGGCCATGGAGGATTTCAGGACAGATGGAGTTGAAACTGGGGCTTGGTGGCTGGTATCCCGAGTTGGTACAGGCAGAGTCTGGTGTGTCTCCAATGAAATATGTGCTGATTCTGTGCTGCTTTTTTTCCCCTTGGGGTCAGGGTTTGGGAGAGGAAGGAAAGAAGAACCTTAGGAAATAGCAAGGGTGATGGGAGCCCAGCCTGAAGGAGCTGCTGGGAACCACTGCCTGAGGCTCCTGCCCCATTGTGCACACACCCTCATCCCTCTCATCTGGTCCCTGTGTTCATTCCCAAACCTGCCTGATGCTTTTTCTCAATTCCTAAAGGGCCCAGCCTGCAATAGCTGAGGTTGTGTGTATGTGTGTATGTACACGTGTGTGAGCATACATGTGTATGTGTATACTGAGATCAATTGAATCAGTGAAACATACCTCCCTCATGATGCCCATACACCCAGAGAAGGAAGCCAAGGTACCAGGGAATTAGAGTAACAGGTATACATTTCAGATTTACAAAATAATATCACAATACTGTAACTTCTATTTTGAGCCTCCATTTTTCACAAGTGCCAGAAATAATCTTTTGTAAACTTGGATTTCTTACTTTTCCATGAAAGTCATAGCTGAGTGCAGAGGGTCTTACATAATCTAAGAAGTTGGGAGGGCATTCTCTCTGGTCCCAGTGTCCATACTTCACCCATCCCCTGAGGAGATTTCCATCATCCCATCTGATTCTCATTCAACAGCCCAGATAAGCCATCTGGATGCAGGCAGGGTTCTTTTTCCTCTGCATAACCCTTTCAGTCCTGAAGTTCTTCCCACCACTTCCATGCCGCCTATGGAGACTTGTGAGGTTTCTATGGCCTTGGCTACTCAGACACACCATGAAGCCATTTCTGTTTTGGGGTCCTGCTCTGGGTTTTACTTGAAAAAGAAGACATAAATTACTCCATCTTTTTATCCTGCAGACCTGTCTAGGGGCTGGCAGAGGACTCCTTCTTTCTTGTGTCAGCGCTGTCACTACATTTCTTCCTCTTGTCCCTTCCTTCCCTATTTGTTAATCTGAAGGTGAGGAAGTCATACTGTTATTTTCGCCCAAATCTTTTATCTGTACCTTAAGTCTTTTCTGGTTCCTTCAGGACCTAGGTTGCTGAAGCTCAAAAGCCAGCAAACCGCCCCTTTATTCTCTGCTTTCTGCAGTCAGGTCTGTTCTTTGGGACACTGAGTAGAGAATGATGTGGCCTACTGCATGGTGAGAAGGAGTGTGGGTGTGGTGGACTACGTGTCTGTCCTGTATCAGAAATGCTATTCCTTCACACTAAGGTGGATAGATCCAGGTCACTAAGAGGCTTGAACCGAAATAGCTGGGATTCAAGGCTAGATCAGCAGAGTACAGAAGGCAATGAAGGAACAGGGCCGGGACACAAGCTACCAAGCTAGGGGATATTGGAAGATGCTTTTGGAAAAAAGGGCTTGCGAGAGGATTAAATGAGTTGTTATAATGCCGAGACTTGGGGAGAGTATTCTCTGTGGTCACAAGTGTTCATGCTGCATTCCTCCCTTGAGAGTCCTGTTGTTCCACCTAGTCCTTAGTAAAGCACTTAGAACACTCAGCACAGTGCCTAGCCTGGTGCATGATGCATGTCCAGTATATGTCAGCTCAAGGTCACAGTATTTGGACATGGGGAGAACAACAAGGGGAGACACAGGTGGGAAAGACTTATTTTAACTCAGGGAAGTATGCAGATTACAGGAGACCTGGATCTGGAGGGTGTGTGTGTGCAGAGTTAGATGGGGTCTGTTCTTTACCATATGGGAAGTACAGAGCCACTGGAGGGATTTAAGCAGCAGGGTATGATGGCCAGATTGGTGTTTTGATGGCTGGTGTGAAGGATAGGTTTGGGGAGAGTTGGAGGGCATTGTAGTAAGAGAGTACTACATGGTGTACCCAGTGTCGGTGGAAAGGAGGGGACTGGTTTAAGAGCTCTTGGGAGGTGGACTCTACAGACTTAGTGACTGATGAGATAGTGAAGTATGAGAGAAAGTCTAGGATGGCCACCACGTTTCTGGCTTTGGGTGATGGTGCCTTTCCTTGAGATGATGACACCACTTGGAGTTGGGGATGATGAGTTCAGTTTTGGATATTCTGAGTTTGAGGTACTGGTGGGATTCCTAGAGGTGACAGGGGGACCAGCAATAAGACAGTGCTGGCATAGTAAGTGAACCATTCTGGAGCCTTTGGTTGTTTTCTGGCTTGTCTCATTGCAGAGAGCCCAAGTCCAACCCAGCCCTGCCTGCCTGGGATACAGGGCTGTGGCAGCAAGTACTCCTGCTCCCTGTGTGTATCTGCACGCACAGCCGCACTAAGACTACTGACTACTTACAGCTGCCTGGCGTGTGTTCAGCAACACAGGGCTCAATCCATAGATGGTGATGTGAGAGCTTCCAAGTGACACCTCAGTTCAGCAAATTGCTGTAGGGAAAGCCCTATGGGAGCCACAGAGATGAGTCAGACTATGACATCCTACCCTGAAGGAGCTCTCCTGCTGGTGAAATGTAAAGAATGCAACTCAGGATGAGATAGGTCCCAAGTGAAAGGTCCTGACAAAGTACTGTAGGATGTAAAGGGAACAATTTCAAAGTGCATCAGGAAAAATTGCATGAAAGAGATGATGTCTAAGGTGGCTTTGAAAACTCATCTTCAGTATGATCCGAGAACAGCATGAGCAAAGACCTGGAGGTGTGGGCTATACAGATGATGTCGAGAGGGGCTGGCCTGTGTGAAGGACACAATGGAAAGTCAAGCTGAAGAAGCAAGTGGGACCAGATTCTGGAGGGCTTTGAAGATCAGTGGAAGTATTTGGACTTAAAGCTATGGTAATATGAAGCCATGCAAGATCTTTATCAGAAGTGATAAATCAATTGGGGTTTGATCAAAGTGACAGAACCACTGAGTGACATAAAGAATTTATTATAGAGGGCCGGGGATTTAGCTCAGTAGTTCCACTGCCTGCCTCGCAAGTGCAAGGTCCTGAGTTCGATCCCTGGTACCAAAAAAAAAATTATTATAGAGATTACACATGTATAGCCTCGGAAGCAGAGAAACCTATGTAAAGCTGGTACCTCTGTATTTGGTGTTGTCCTGAAGTTGCTATAGGCTTACTAGGTTGGCAGTTGGGAAAGAAAGCTGGTTTGAATGAGGGTAGTGTAAGGGCAAAATAGAGCCCAGGAGGCCAAGCTAGAACCCTGGTCTAGCTCTCACTGTCTTCCAAGTTCAATGAGAGGTGTCCTGCAGGAGAAGTTGACACCTTTTACACTTGATCTTAGCCAGAAGGCCGAGAAGCGATAAGTTGGCACCTTTTGCCATACAGTTGCACTTGGACCAGACTGAGAACAGTAAGAGAGATGATCTGGCTGGAAGTGAACAGGGTGTACTGACAGGTGAGTGTTCCTGTGGTACCTGGTGACATTTAGGCCTGTGGCAAGGTAGAAACAACATAGTAGAAGAGCATGGCAGGCGAAAGCTTCTCACCTTATGGCAGCCAGGAAGCAGAGAGAGCGCCAGAGAGGAACAGGTTGGGGACCTTATAGTCCTCAAGGTCATGCCTCCGTGATGATCCACTCCCTTCAACAAGGCCCCACCTGTTTCTGACACCTCCCAGGAATATCATATCAAGATCTCACAGTGAAGTTCAGGCTAGCCTTAAACTCATTGTATAGCTCAGGATGGCCTTGAACTCACACTTACTATGATCCTCTTGCCTCAGCTTCCCAAGTGCTGGAATTACAGGCATGTGTCACCATGCCTGGCTCTAAAAGTATGCTTTAATCAATGGATTGATCTGATGAAGTTAAATCTGTACAATCCAAATGCCTTCCCAAAGTTTGTCCTCTGAATACTTGAACATTTTGGAGGACATTTAAAGATCCACCTCAATGTGGTGATACATGCCTGTAATCCTAGCACTTGGGAGGCTGAGACAGGAGGATCACTGTGAATTCAAGGCCATTCTGAGGTACAGAGTGAGTTAAAGGCCAGCCTGAACTACATAGCAGGCCCTTTCTCAAAAAACCAAAACTAAACAAAAGATCCAAATAACATTTAAGCTCATGCACATACCTCTTGTGGGCAATCCTAAGCAGACCCGGGCAGGAAGGAAATTCTGGGAAGCACACCTTGTTTGGTTGAACTAGTGCAAAGCTGCCACAAATGAACTAACCAGAGCTTTGTTGAGATGATTACCCTGACACAGTCCAAGAAGAATGGATGGCCAGGGCAGAGGAAGCCAGATCTCTGGTAGCTCTTGGGTTGATTCTGCAGAATGGCATATCGTCATTATGTATTCACAAATCTCTCAGTCTCCTCTCTTTCCTTCCAAAATAGTAGCTGGACTTCTCCACCTTGATTTTTTTTTATTTTTTATTTTTTTGGTACCAGGGATCAAACTTAGGTCCTTGTGCTTGTGAGGCAGGCAGTGGAACCACAGAGCTAAATCCCTGGCCCCAACCACTCTGATGTTAAATGTGGCCATGTGCCTTGTAATGGACAATGAAATGTGAGTGGAAGAAAGCATGAGTACTTGTGAGTGAAAGCTATGAGTTTTTGCAGACTTTGTTACCTTCCCTTTTCCCTTTGTCATGCTGAGTTGTTCCAGATGGTAACTGCTTTGTCATCCTAAGTCCCAGAAAGTGAAGAAAATGATGCAGAGCAGAACCCTAGCCAGGCTCTAATGGACCTGAAGCATGATTGAAAAACAAATCTTAACGGTTTTAAGCCACCAGCGCAATATAACCTAGCCTGCACTGGCTGATAGAGGTGGACAGCAAAAGCAAAACTGGGACATTTTCCTGGAGAGCAGACCTTCCCCTAGCAGAGCTGTGACAGCGGCTTTCGCCTCTGTGTTCCTCAGGCTATAGATGATGGGGTTTAGTGAGGGTATCACAGCCCCATAGAACAGTGTGATAATTTTATTCACATTGAGGTCCTGGGCCTTGGGCTTGAAGTACAATGAGGAAATGGTCCCATAGAAAACCATGACCACTGTGAGGTGGGCAGAGCAGGTTGAGAAGGCTTTGTGCCAGCCTGCAGCAGAGGGCACCCTAAGGATGGCAA